CGGCCTCCCCAGCCCTGCCCCCGCGACTTTCCCTAACAGACAGGGATCCGGGTGAAGCAGCCAAAAAACGCACAGAAGCAACGGGGAGGGCACGCAGCTGAGGAATCGCGTGCAGTTTCATCAAGGAGAGGGGAGGGGTGAGAAGGGGCTGGATGACTGGCACACGGTCGCTGGTGGCAAACAACGGGGAGGCCAAAGAGGATGTGGGCAGAGATTTCTGGATCAGGCCACAGCAGCCACCTGGTACCTTTAACAGGAAACGAAACAGACTTCAAGAAAAAGGAGAGTGGGAGTGAGGTGACAGCAAGGAGGCTGTGAACTATTCTTTTTTAAAAGTTTTTAAAAAGATAGAAGGATAGCCATAAAAGGGTGTTTTAGAACAGGTGACGTTTGAGCATATTTCAGGCCACTGGGACTCTGGAAAGAGGGTGGTTGAAAATTCAGAAGAAAAGGAATGAGTGACATAAGATCCTAGAGGCTGTGGGGAGGGGTTGGGATCGAAGGCCGGAGGTGGCCGAGGGAGGGGGGTGGGAGAGAGAATGGAAATGGGGACAAGCAAGCCTTGGAACTTTAGTTCAATGTAACTAATATTTGTGACATCTGCCATAAGCAAGCTCTGTGCGGGGAACTGTGGGATACAGAAACATTTGTAAGGCAAGCGTGTCCTCAAGGAGCTGATGAGCTAGCCACATTAAATGGCCTCTAATGTTCATTCGACCTTAACTATGCTATAACTTCAATATTTTTAACTGCAAGTATTCATAGAAACAAGTTAGAATAAGTCAAGCATACAAATTGCTCTGGGGATTCGGACAGGTAGCAGACACTTCCAAGCTGGGAAGGCTTCAAGGGCGAAGCTGCATCTTAAAGGACCAGTACAGGGAGTGGGGACAAGAGCTTCTAGAGAGAAAACAAGCGGTACACACTGTAGCGCGGGCACACACACACACACAACATTAGAGTAGACATCTATCGATTATGAGGCTTCCCAGCATCTGAATTTCTTGTTTGAGGTCCCCCCTCATAATTATGAGGCAGAGCTGTCACTCTAAAAGCTGAAAGGCCGGACATTCGTTTTCCCTGCTGCCTTTCCGTCTAGGCTGGAGGGGCGGAGGTTAGACTCATCAGTTAGGCACACCCGCCTCGGGGGTCAGCAGTGGCAGTCAGGGTCTCTCGCATGATTTCATCTGTGTCCCATCTACTGCCTTAGGTTCATTCTCGGAGCCTGGCTTGCCAGCCCTCCTAGCAATTCCATAAGCTGTCTACAATCCTTTCAATAAATTTCTTTTTAAGTTAGCTATATTTTCTTTATATTGCTTGCAACTAAGAATCCTGACAAACAGATATGATGATCCTGACCAATTCTGATGTGATCATGGAAAAGCTCATAACCCCACATAAATGAATAATTGGGGGGATATATTAGCCAAGGTTATGCAGAAAAACAGAAGGCTCTCTAAGCAACTCAGTAAATGGATTTAATACAGAAAATTAGAGGATTACTCAGTCTCTGGAAAGTCCTAGGGAGCAAAGGCCAGCGAGCCACTGTAGGAATTCAATAGATGGTACAAACCACTACTGAGCATTTCCGCCCTCGGTAGCTCCAAAGTAGGCGATTCTCAGGAGGAGGCCTGGGAATCTTGGCACGTCTGCCCAGATGTCAGCCATCTGCCAATGCTCGTGTACTTGCCCATAGCTGCAGCTGGAGGATTCTAAACTGAAACTCCGTCGGCAAAGGCATCTGAGAAATGTAATTTTCAAATTTCCAGTCCTGCCATAAAGGACAGCATTTAGAAGGACGGCCATGGTGGACGATAACTGTTCCCACCCTGAAGGCTCAAATGCCTGGGTCCAGCTCTCTTCTCTCCTTCAGCATTCTCATTCTCCTACTCCCCCTACATCTGCCAAACCAATGACCTCATTGAGACTTCCAGCACTTTGATACCTCAGTTTTCTCCAGTTTATCAGCTCCCTTCACCTCTCTTATTATAATTCCCTTGCCACCGTGTCTTGCAACCATTGCCTCTCTATACAGTGTAAAATCCCAGCTCATTGTGCCACTCCAGCTGTCTGGTTCTTATGTCCAAGCTGGCAGACTTCATTAGGGGGAAAAATCCTACCCCATGCCGATTGGTGTCATAGTAGTTTATAGCCTCTGGCAGGCGCTAACTGAGCTACAGCTTTCATTCCCCATAGCTACTGGTTAAAGCTTAATAACACTCCTATCAAGTCTGATGACTACTCATTTCCCCCTCACTCCACACACACTCTAAGTGACAGCCTTGCCTCATACTCTAGAGAGAAAATAAATAACATGGACTTTGACGTCCCCATGTCTTCTCCCTTCTCCCCACATAAAACCTTCATATTTCTCTGTTTCCAGATCTTACCACTGTCTTCCCCTTAGTGGAGGAGGCAACCTTCTCCTGCTCAAGGCTGAACCTCCCTCCTATGTGCTAGACTTTTAGAGATTTTGTAAACAGTTGTAATCTCTTGCCTAATTGTCTCAAATTCTCTTTTTCCTGCCTCATTCCTTTCACCATATAAAAACACTCAATTCTTACTCATCTTTGAAAAAAAAAAAAGCCCTTGTTTAACCCTACACTTGGCCATTTCCCTTCCTGTCTGCTCTTGTCCTCTTGTCCATAGGCAAGCTACCTGGCTACCTGGAAGAGGAGTTGTCTGCTCTCAGTCTCAGTCTCCACTAACTAACTGTACACTGGGAGACTTCACTGCACATTATGTAGGAGTTCAGCTTTTGAGATGGTCAACATAGGTTTACATTTTGCTGAAACCACTTACTGTGACCTAGTGTAGGTCACTTAGATTCTGCAAGTCTCTGATTATCTTACATCAGAGATAATCATAACTTCTTCTCAGGGTTGTACCAAAGTGCTTAATTAGCACTGTGTCGGGCATGTAGTGAGTGTGCATTGAAGGTAATCTGTTATTGCTTACTCCATGAACCTCCACTATCTGGCTGCCCCTCTTCCACTGTAGACACTGCCCCCACCAAGTCCTCTGATGAGTTGTTAAAGGTAGTTAATGTTTTTCCATTTTTTTAAAGATACTATTTAATTTCTTCAAGGTATTCCACACTGTTGAGCCCTCTTGATTTAAACCCAGTCTCCAAAGTGGGCCACACAAGGTGATTCACTTGGGTGGGGCAATAAATACATTGCAACTTTTATTGATTGTAAAATGCACCATTATTTTATGTATCACTAAGAAAGAAAAACACTGCCAATTCTTGTCCTTTACAAGTTTAGCTAATATTTATTACAAGAACTCTTTTAGATTTAAACTTATAAGTACGATTATTTAAACTTACAAATAATGACAGTATGATTCATTGTGACTAAGTTCATATATATGTGGATATGATATCATTTCAGCTCCTAGGTGTATAGTCATTAAAATGAGGAAATATGCATCTTATGCTAAGTAAAATATATTTACTTTATATCTAAAACTTTAATAAATTATTTTCTTATAGTTACTATATGGATTAAAATACTATATGTACATAATTCATAAATAAGTATACATATATGGGGATTGTTCAAAAAGTATTGCTTGGATACACAATTTAATAGGTTTGGGGGCCACTGATTTAAATCATTTCCCTATAAGTAATAGTGTCTCATGGTTTTCTTCTACCTTTTCTTTTTTAAAAATTTTTTTTAATTTTTTATTTTTCTGAGCTGGAGATGTGATTTGGGGAGTCATTGCTTTATTGATAATTCAGCTGAGAGACAATCCACCATGGCAGGGGTGAACTTGCTCAGGGAAAGAGCCAAGGATGAGAAGGAAAAGGGCCTTCAGCTGAACCTTCCAGAATCTCTGCCATTTAATCACCTGGTAGGTAGGATAACCAGGCCAGGGAGAGTGGCAATAGGCCAGCAGCGAGGAGAAGCCCCAGGGGAGGGTGGAGTCGCTGTGTCGAATGCCACTGAGACTAGGTGAGAATCAACACCCAAGGGATGGTGTC